TCCCATTGATTTCAATGTAAAGTGGTGTCAAAAGTATTAACATAAAAGTTAATAAATAGATTAATTGTAATTAAAAGTTACCGATTTTTAAAAATATTTCACTAAAATGTCTGTCCGAATGTTAACTGTATTTTCCAAAAATAATATGGTTAATTGTGACCGCGAGTGCCGATCGCCGCCGCACTGAAAATAGCGTTAAAGTGAATGCATCGGTTGGTTCGGGGACCCGTTAGCACTGGCCAGTGATTATCATGAAAGTCTATGGCATGGAATTTATACATTTGTTATCTAGCTATCATATGAAATAATGATTAATGATTTCCCACCACACATTGTCTAGTTACAGGCCTAGAATCAACATCACACATTTCCCGTAATGCTTTTCAATGGGGGGTTTGGGGTGCGGGTCGGTGATAGGCCTGTAACTGGACAGTGTGTGGCGGGAAATAATTAATCATTATTTCATATGATAGCTAGATATCAAGTGTATAAATTTCATGCCATAAACTTTCATGATAATTGCTGGCCAGTGCTAGCGGGTCCCCGAACCAACCGATGCATTCACTTTAACGTTATTTGCGGTGCGGCGGCGATGGCGACTCGTGGTCAACATTGACAATATTATTTTAGAAAACTATAGCCAACAATTGGACATACATTTTGGTTAAATATTTTTAAAATTCGGTAACTTTTAATTATATTTAATCTATTTATTAACTTTTATGTATATACATTTAGCGCACTTTACATTGAAATCAATGGTAAAATGCTATGTTAATATATAAAATTTCTAGTGTACATGTACATGTCACTAAGTTCAAAGGTATTTAACCAATAGATCCTATGGAGGTAAATCAAAAGTATGTTGGTGCTAAAAAAAACCCCGTTTCAGTATTAACCCACAAGCTAAATTAATAGAAAATCCACAAATTCTTGACTATTTGTAAATAAATCATTGAAATACTTAATTATAATTAATTACTAATAGAATTTTAGTGTAATCTATAGAAATATTTAGAGTGATTTATAGATTATCTAGCCATCAAATAATTAACAGTATTTAATTAACTAGTAATTAACAGTTTAGAAATACGGTTACTTATTCCCTCTCCCACTTTATCCCACTCTATAGTTTAATTCTACTCCCACTCCCTATTGCATGTTACGCTTTGTTGCATGTCCCTTTGAATCGTTTTGCTTAATATTAATAAATTATAATTTATGTTAGGCCAGTGGTAAATGTTAACATTTAGAAAACTCCGTATTGTTATAGGTTATAATTTATAACACAATTTTATAGTGCGTTAATTAATTATTAGGGTCAATTTTCAACGATGACAATCATAGAGATATGGCATTCAGTAGTCACTTACAAAGTGTAGTTCCATTGAGAAAAATGTCCCTGAATACTATTCGGTATTGTGGTTATTTTACATTATTCTCTCATTATGTTTATAAATGTAGTTATTTATTAAATAAATTGAATTCATTTAATAGGAAATATTCAAAAACAACAGATTTTGTGGAATTGTTGAACAAAACTGTAAATGAAATCTTTGCACAAATGTTGGCCAAAGAGGGAATCAATCGACCGTTTAAACCGCAATCTTATTGTCACGAATTGGTTATGAATGTGTTTAATGTCTCTATTTTTAACCACAAGTAAAGTAAAATTAACAATATATTTATATCAATACACTTTAGTATGTATTCATAATTAACAATTACGATTTGCATATAATTAATCTAGGATGAATCAGGAAATGTACACAAACTTTGGTTATCCCAGCCATTACTTCGGACATGATATGAGAAATTTAGACGGCATTTACGCGTTTATACCCATTGCACGATATTTTATGGCCAATCCTTTCCAAAAATTACAGCAAACATATAATAAATGTTTTAAATACACAATAAATGAATTACAATTACGCGAAAATTACGACGAGAGTAATGGCCGAGACTTTTGCAGTCAGTTTATTGACGCCAAACGCCGGGCAGAGGCGGAGGAAAAGCCATACTTTCAATGTTTGAATGATAATAATATTGTGGCAGTAGTTATGGACATGTATTTAGGTATCGATTTAGTTACTAATTATTAATATTATAGTTTATTCTCTATGTAAGAAGCTAGCTGTGTATTAAATTTTGTACAAGGTATCAATTAAGGTCTTCTTATAAAGTGGTTCATTGAATGTTATTAGCAATAATAACTTATTAATAATAATATTAATTATAAATGATTATCGAAATTAAATTTTATGATAACAGCGGGAATGGACGCCATATATACAACTTTTGTATGGAATCTACTATTTCTGGTATATTATAGCGATTGGCAGCAAATTATGCGAAATGAAGTGAACGATAGTCTGGGCGATAGGGCACCGGTTGTAACCGATAAACACCATTTGCATAATGTTATGGCATTCATATACGAAACCATTCGTTGTCGAAACGCAGGACCTGTTGGGTCACCGCATATGACTTTATCCGATACCATATTAGGTTATACTTAATGTTTAAATCATGTTTAATTAATGGTAATTTCATTGATATTTATATTGCTTAGGCGGCAAATACCGAGTTCCCGGCCAAACAATACTCATCCATCATTCGTGGCATATATTGACTAACGATAAATATTTTCCATACGCTGACCAATTTAAACCTGAGCGTTTTATTGATAAACATGGTCAGTTTAATTCCACTGGCTTATCAACATATCTACCGTTTGGCACGGGTAGGCGTGTGTGTATCGGAGAATCAATGGCTATAAATAGTTTATTTCTAATCATGGTAAACATTTTACAATATACAAACGACCACCCGATAAAACTAGTGGACCGATATAATGATGCCGATAGTCTGCAGCCCGTCCGGGACGGCATGGCATTGCTTTTAAAGAATATCGATTTTGAAGTTATTTTTGAAAAATAATTACTGTTTATGCAAAATATTTTTATTTTAATAATAGATTTTAAATAGATTGGTATTAAAAATATAATTTTTTTAATTAATTCATACCATTCTTTATTGTTATTATATTTGTAAATATACATAACATTTACTTTTTAAAGAAATAATCAGTAATTTTGGATTGTTTTAATAAATTAAAAGTTGATTCAAAGACTGTTTATGAATTATTTCATAGTTTGTTTGAATTGATAATTTATTTTATACTTCAGACATTTTAATCACAATAATAGATAACCTTTTGTTAACTTTTGTATTGGGTTTAAAACTTATTTACTGTTTAATACAAGACTAATATAAAATGCATTGGTCAGCGTTAGCGGATTGTGTTTTAGTTTTGGTTGACAGGAAAGATATTGTTATGCATATAAATGCCACAAATTTTAGAACATAATATCGTCGGTTGTTGTCAACACAGATGTTGACAGCATAGAAATTATTTTAACATTATGTCTATGTAGCGTTGCCAAACATACAGGAACTTCCTGTAATATACAGGAATTAAAGAATTTTTGCAGTATACAGGAAGGGCTAAATTATTTTAACATTATGTCTATGTGGTGTGTATTTGGGTCTTACCCTTTATTATCTGTGCTGTCAACTACTCGATCATATCATACAAGTTGTTAGAGTTTGTTTAATATGATCGAGTAGTTAACAGCACAGATAATTGACTGTACTAATTATAGCTTTGCCAATTATCAATAAATCCATTAAATTATATAATTGTATTGAATAAATTATGTCTTTCTATGTATGAATTTATCTTACAGTTCATATTGTTATTTGGGAATAACTTTGTCCCGACGGAGAACACTGTGTGTGATATAGAGTTTCTGTTTCAAACACAAACAAAATACTCACACGTAGTACCTGTTAAACAGGTCAATGTTTGGGTGTAGTTATGTTTGTTTGCGGTAGGCTTGTATTGTGCGTAGCGTTGCCAGAAATATTTTGGAGTTATTTTGAAAATTTGATAAGTGCCCAAATTTCCTGGATTTCTCTGGATTTGAGTTGTCAGTTACCCCAACAATATCTACAGGGTGTATATTATATTTAGTACTATTGCATGTAATAAAACTTTTAATTTTAATTAATATGGAAATTTAATAAGTCTGAAAATTCAACACATTTTATATTAACACTTAACTCTCCGCATGCATTTGAGTATTATTGGCAATAAATGTACAGTTAAACCCTATTTTACAGTATACATCGGGAACGGATTAATATTCTATAACTTATACTTCCTATATTTATAGAAACTTTACTAAATAAATATATGACAAATAATATTAAAAATCGTTATACCCTTAAAAACTCATAAA